AGACATCTTTCCCTCCCCACCCTTATCTGCTTTCCGGAGGGACAACTTTCTCTGTGACTCCCTTGTCCGCTCCACACTCCCCTCCAGCTCCACCACACCTGGCACTTTTCCCTGCAACCGCAGGAAGTGCTACACCTACCCCCATACCTCCTCCCTCACCCCCATCCCAGGCCCCAAGAAGACTTTCCACATCAAGCAGATCCACACCTGCACATCTGCTAATGTGGTATACTGCATCCGCTGTACCCGGTGTGGCTTCCTCTACATCGGGGAAACCAAGCGGAGGCTCGGGGACCACTTTGCAGAACACCTACGCTCGGTTCGCAATAAACAACTGCACCTCCCAGTCGCGAACCATTTCAACTCCCCCTCCCATTCCTCAGACGACATGTCCATCCTGGGCCTCCTGCAGTGCCACAACGATGCCACCCGAAGGTTGCAGGAACAGCAACTCATATTCCGCTTGGGAACCCTGCAGCCCAATGGTATCAATGTGGATTTCACAAGTTTCAAAATCTCCCCTCCCCCTACCGCATCCCAAAACCAGTCCAGCTCGTCCCTGCCTCCCTAACCTGTTCTTCCTCCCACCTATCCCCTCCTCCCACCTCAAGCTGCACCTCCATCTCCTACTGACCAACCTCATCCCGCCCCCTTGACCTGTCCGTACTCCCTGGACTGACCTATCCCCTTCCTAACTCCTTACCTACACTCACCTTTACTGGCTCCATCCCTGCCTCTTCGACCTGTTTGTTTCCTCTCCACCTATCCTCTCCTCTATCCCTCTTCTATCCGCCTCCCACTCTCTCCCTATTTATTTCAGAACCCCCTTCCCCTCCCCCTTTTCTGATGAAGGGTCTAGGCCCGAAACGTCAGCGTCTCTGCTCCTATGATGCTGCTTGGCCTGCTGTGTTCATCCAGCCCTGCACCTGGTTGTCTCAAAAAGGCATTTGGCATGCTTGCCTTCATTGCTCAGTCTCTTGAGTAAAAGACTTGGGATGTTATGTTGAAGTTGTACAGAACATTGGCGAGGCCTCTTCTGGAATACTGTGTCCAATTCTGGTTGCCCAGTTATAGGAAGGATATTATCAAGCTGGAGAGGGTTCAGAAAAGATGTTACTGGGTATGGATGGTTTGAGTTCTAAGGAAAGACTGGATAGGCTGGGACTTTTTCCACTGGAGCATTGCACTGGTTGAGAGGTGACCTGAAAGAAGTTTATAAAATAATGAGAGGTATTGATAGAGTTGATGGTAGTTGTCTTTTCCCTAAAATGGGGAATTTCAAGACTTGTGGGTATATTTTTAAGGTGAGAGGAGAGAGATTTTAAAAAGACATATGAGGCAAATTTTTTACACAGAGGGTGGTTTCCGTGTGGAATGAACTTCCTGATGAAGTGGTGGATGTGGGATGGATATATGAATAGGAAACGTTTGGAGGGATATGGGCCAGGAGAAGGCTGGTGGGACTAGTTTAGTTTGGGATTATGACTGGCATGGACTAGTTGGACCGAAGGCTCTGTTTCTGTGCTGTATGACCCTATGACTCTATGACTAGAGAATGTCTCTCTTGGCTGTGTTGAGCCACTACCACTACCACCACCACCACTACTACTGCTGCTGCCTGGGCCTACCCAGTTCTGCTGCTACTGCTGCTGCCTGGGCCTTCCACCTGTACTGCTGCCTGGGCCTTCCACCTGTACTGCTGCCTGAGCCTTCCACCTGTACTGCTGCTGCTGCTGCCGCTGCCTGGGCCCTGACTCAGGCCCCACCCAAGGACTGTTGTTCCTGCCTGTGCACTGCCATTCCTGCCGGAGACCTGCTCACTCCAGGACTGTTGCTCAAGCCCCATGGAGGAGCTGACTTCCTCTAGCGCCTGGCAGCACTACTCTTTCCCCCCAACACCCACTCTCTCCCCTGGTGACATGGCTAGCCCCAAGATGGCAGAACCTAGCCATACCCATGCTGGGGTAGCTGCAGCCTTGGGCCTGGCTGCTTCAGCCCCGGCTGTGACCTCAATCTCCTTCAGGTTCCTTACAAAGAGCCTAGGGGTCAAAGCCTACCCCCATCCGGTTATGACCATTGAGGCCTGCAGCAAGGCCACGGCTGGCATTGTTGCTGCAACCAAGATGTACGGAAAGGCCATATTCTTCCTTTGGTCCGATCAGGCGGAGCACTTGGCCATGGAGAAGGGGCTGTCTGTAGGTGGGACATATTTGCCTGCCAACCCCCTGGAGGTTACAGCCCAATGTCCCACCCTTCATTGGCACTGAGTTCCTCCTCGCCCAACTAATATCACTGGGGAAAATCCGGTCAGGTGTTACGTTTCTCCTGCTTGGACTGAAGGAGCCTGCCCTTAAACACATCTACTCCTTCTGGCGCCAGGTCATTATTTGCTTGGCCCAGGAGGAGGTTACCAAAGGCAACTTCGCCGTTCTCCACGAGGGCACGGCCTACCATGACTTCTGGACAGCAGCCAGCATGCAGTGTCACCTCTGCCGAGAAGTGGGGCACGTAAAGAAGAACTGCCCCACCCTGACAGCCACCCAGCCTACACCAGTGGCGGGAAGGTGGCACGGTAGCATCTGCTCCCCCATCCCTCAAAGAAACTCCAGGGCCCCCGCAAGTGGGGCCTAAGCTGGAGGTCGTCATCACCGTGGCCTCTGGTGGGGAAGGGGTTGGCTGTGCAGCTGGAAGGAAGGCGCAGAGAAAGTCTACATATTTGAGGCTGCCCCGTGGATGCGTCCTACTGCACCCACCCCCCACCCCCAACCCTAGTTGCAGTTACCCTATTGGCTCCCCACAGAATCGGAACCTCGGCCCGCCCCACCCTGGTGTGAAAATGTCCTTGTGGCCGCACCAGTGTTGTCCCAGCACAGGAACCCCAATCCCCAGCCCTGCGCCTGACACACCCCCTGCCCCGACTTACTGACCTTCAGGGGCTCCAAGCCCAACCATCGCTCTGCAACACCAGACCTCAAGGACTTCAGGCCCAACATCGCCCACATTACCGGACCTCCACCCGAACTCACCAGACCTCAGGGACTCCGCTGCCCGCCTCTGGCCTGCAATGGCAGTGACCGCGGTTTCAAGGCCGGAAGCTAGGCCCCTGCCATGCCCACTGTCACCTGACAGCTGGGGCAGGGCAGGAAGGGATGCATCTGGCTCTCACTGCCCTAACCACACTCCCATCCTCTGCCAGCCAATTGAGTGGAGAGGCCGCGGGGAGGGCCTAAAAACCCCTTGACTACCAGGGAGGGAGGGGAGGCCATCACCACAACACAGGTAAGGCACAGTTCCTTCCCCAGGAGTGTGCCATGGTGCCTCCTGCCCCTCCTATACTGCAGCCTGACCAATCCAGTGCCCCGAGGGTTGTGGCCGGATCACCCACTGCCACAGCTCCACCAGCCGCCGGGAATGAACCGAAACTTCACGCAAACGACGGTGCTGACAATATAACTGTAAATCCAACTGGGTCATCGGGCAGTGGTGAGGAGAAAGCTGTTTTCCTCACTCCTCCCTCCCAGACTGTTTTCTCGGGTGCCCTGGCCATGGGGGAGCACCTTTTTCCCTGAGGAACCAGGCGTCCCAGTGTCGGGAGAGGAGCGGTGCCCCGAGCCTCCACTGCCCAACGACCCAGACCCAGAACAGGTCTCTCTGGAGTGCATCGAAGACGTTCCTGCCGGTGACCCTGGGGGTGGTGTCACTGGTGGTGCTGGACTAATCCCCACTCTCACCGTTGGGGTGGGGCTAGTGACTGAGGATGACCACCCAGAGGAGGTTCAGGCTTGGTGGTGGCCATTGAGGACAATGCGGAGTCCGGATCCAGCAAAGGTTTAGACTTCCAAGCGCCCTCCACTGAGTTGCCCCTCATCCCCACTGAGGAATTGTGGGACTTTATCAAGAGTATTCATGGTCACCACAATACAGTCTAGTTGGCTCTTGACCACTGGGATGATTTTAGACTGGTCTTCTGGTCCACCTGGGCTGCTCGCCACATGCCCGGGCTGGCTCAGAACAACCGGCGGCGGTTCAGGGCGTTCCCTGATGCACTCAGGGGGAGGCCAAGGGACTTGTATGTCCCTCCCCCATCCTCCGAGTAGGTGTTTTTAACAGTTTCACTAGTGGTGGCTACATGCTACTACTGACAATGAAGACTACCATAGCCAGCCTCAACATCAATGGCAGGAGGGAGTCACAACACAAATTCCAGAACTTCTCTGTCCTTCAGGACAGGAAGTATGCAGTGTGCTTCCTGCAAGGAACCCATACCTCCCTGGAAGATGAAGCCACCTAGCTCCTGGAGTGGCAAGGAGGGGTCTACATGAATCACCTCACCTGTAAATCTGGCGGGGTGGCTATCATGTTGGCCTCACATTTTCAGCCAGACACCTTGAGGGTCAAAGAGCCTGTGCCAGGCTGTTTGCTGGGGAGGCATGGTGCTTCACTTCGTGAATGTCTACCCTCCCTCAGTCAGGCTGAGGCAAACATGCTTCTATGGAGAAGTGTCTGCTCATCTTGCCTCCATCAACGAAGGCCAGTACATTGACCCTGAGGGAAATTTAACTGCATCCTCAAAAACAGGGACTATGGTAGTGCCTGGTCTAGTTTGGCATCGGGGTGTTGGTTGGGGGACTTGGTCAAGTCCTTCAACCTGGTGGATGTCTGACGAAATCTCCATCCTGACTCCATCATCTTAACCTTCATGAGGTCTGAGGGCAGAGCATTGAGGATCGTCTGCCTGTAGATTTCACAGGCTAATGCATCCTGTGTTCTGGTGGCCTCCATGTGGCAGGTGCTGAGCACAGACCATCACATGGTGTGGACGGAGGTCCTTTTGTTTCGTACTCGGCTTGGGTTCACGTACTGGCATTTTAACAGCCTGCTGCTGGAGGACAAATGGTTCTGAGACTCATTTCATAATTTCCAGACCGGCTGGAGAAGGAAACAGGGGCTTCCCCTCCTTGAGACTATGATGGGACTTGGGAAAGGCTCACATCAGTGTCTTCTGTCAGGAGTAAGCGAGGGGTTGACAAAAAGGCAGAAATCCAGGATCAAGGAGTTGGAGAAGGAGGTGCTCAACCTGGAGACACGTCTTGGTCAGCCTGATGTGGACCTGGCCCTGCAGGGGTAATACAAGGAGAAGAAGGCCACATTCCAAGACCTGCAGCTCGTTGGGTCCCAGGGCGCAAATGTGAGGTCGTGGATCCGGCTCCTCCAGGACCTGCACTGTGGCTTCCTTTACTTCTATTTGCTGGAATAAAGGCATGGCACCCATCAGCAGCTCCTTGTGCTGCTGGCTGACGACAGACCTCTCGTCTTGGATCCGGAGAGAACAGAGCTGCGTATTAGATGTTAATCTGGGCCCTGATGCCCTCCGGATCCATCCAGGGAGGATGCTCACAGAGTTTTATGGGAGGACCTGCTGCAGTTCAGCCTGGAGGATGCCAGAAGGCTTGCGCTCCTGTCACTTTTGAGGAGCTGACCAACACCCTCACCTGGCTCTTAAGGGGCAAGTCCCCAGGGCTGGGCCAGCTGACTGTGGAGTTCTTCAGGACACTGTGGGACATCCTTGGGGGCGACTACGTGCAGGTGTTGGCTTCTTGCTTGGCATCAGTGCTGGACCACATGATCCAGTTGTACATGGTCCTGGGTTGAAGCATTCATGACATCGTCCATCTGGTTCAGGACCTGTTCCATTTTTGTCAACTGACTGGTCCGTCAAGTGCCTTCCTGTCTCTTGATCAGGAGAAGGCGTTTGACAGGGTCGATCACGAGTATTTGCTCAGGACTCTGCAGGTATTTGGGTTTGAGATGCAGTTCGTTGCCCAGATCCGACTTTTGTACACTGCCACAGAGTGTCTGGTTAAACTTAATGGGTCCTTGACAGTGCCCCTTCACTTCAGGAGAGGAGTGCATCAGGGCTGTCCCTTGTCCAACCAGTTGTATTCCCTGTGCGTAAAGCCTTTCCTGTGCCTGTCTCAGAGGAGGTTGTTGGGGCTGGTTCTGTGTGGGCCGTGCATGGGCGTGGTCTTTTGCTCCTCATGTTCACTGATATGGCTGACCTGGGGAGGATGCGCAAGTGCTAGGCATTGTATTCGGCAGCGTCTTCCGCCAGGATCAACTGGGCTAAATGTTCCAGACTTGTGGTCGGTCTGTGGTGGGTGGACTCCTTGCCGGAGGGGTTCAGCTGGAGCACCACCCATCTCCTCTATCTGAGGGTCTACCTTAGCGCTGCTGAGGAATCCTGGCTGGCGGATTGGCAGGAGCTGGAGTCCAAAGTCTTGGCTTGCTTAGGCCATGGGACAGGACTGCTCTGAGTGCCGTCTTACAGGAGTTGAGTGCTGATCATAAACCAGCTGGTGGCCTCCATGTTGTGGTACCAGATGGTCCCTTTAGTCTCTTCTCCTAGTTTTGTCACTGACATCCAGAAAACGTTGGTTGACTTCTTCTGGGACAAAAAGATGCACTGGGTCATGGCACAGGAGGGTGATCAGTTGCTGGTGTGCGTCTGCACCCAGGTGGTGACTTTCTGCCTTCAAACCTTGCAACGATAACCTTTACATTGAGCCTCCTCCTAGGTGATGTGCCGTGGTGACGTATTTTTTCCAGCAGGTCTGTAACCTCAACAATTATACGCAGCTCCTGTTTATCGACCATGAGGGTTTGCAGGTTTGGCATGCGGAGTGGTGGCAGATGTCCAGCTTGTGGTCACTGCCATCCAACGCCTTAAGACAGAGATGCTCAGACCCGACACTGTGCATCAGTTGGAGGATGCTCTGGTGTGCGGTGGAATCCCATCTGTCCGTACCCTTGCTCAGACAGAATTTCACATTTGCCCCAAGATTCTGTACCTTGCCCGGGAGCCTGTGTTGCCTCCAGAACATACGTAGTTTGGATTTTGAAGGGGTGAAACAGCAGGCCCTCTACAGACTGCTGCTGCACACCATCCACCTCTTCTCCTTCATCCACCACCCGGACATGACTTGGCGAGCCCATTTACCACTGGGTGGTGGAGATCCCTAGCAGAGGGCTCTTTACGTGGGAGTCCTCTCTCTTTCCCTTGGGAACCTGGGGTGGAAGGTGTTGCACGCAGCAGTCCCAAGCAACTGCCCAGCCCAACGGTTTGTTTTGCACCACTGAGGAGTCCGTGGACAATGTGTACATTGGGTGTGGGCATTTGCACTCCCTTTTCAGTTACCTTAAGAACCTTCTTTTGTGTTTTTGGTTGCACTTCAGCCCCACGCTCCTGATCTTCGGGCATCCATTGTGGAGGGAAGCGGGCAGGTCGGAGGATCTTCTCGTGTGTCTGCTCCTAGACCTGGACAAGCTGGCCATTAACAGATCCAGGCAGAGGGCTGTGGAGGGGGTTGTTGTGGCCGACTGCCTGCCCCTCTTCCGTGGTTACGTTTGAGCCCTGGTGTCCTTGTAGAGGGAGCACGCGGTGTCCACCAACACTCTCGATGTCTTCAGGGAGAGGTGGGCGTCGTGGTGTGTGCAGTGCTTTATTTACCCCTCCAACTCTATTTTGATTTGATCCCTAACCTCCCCTTCACTTTTTGCAGTTAGTCATTGCTGGTTCTGAGCTTTGCTTGTTACTGGTTCATTGGCCACATGGGTGTTTTTCCTGTTGGTGGAAAATATTCAATAAAATTATCTTGCGCGTTGTGTTTTTACTGACTCCTGCACTTACATACACGCAACACGGGTGCTGTGGGGAAATGTAAGCACTACTGAAAAAAAGAATAATCAGGAGATTAGAATCTCCTCAGTTTTGAGAACTGACTCTGAGGTGGCTGGCCACAGCCAGTGTACTTGGCGGAAGAAGCTCAATTAAAAAAAAACAGGAGATTGGCCCTCTAGTGGTTCAGTGGTAGTGTCACCACCCCTAGACTGGGAGGCAGGGGTACAAGTCCCACCTGCTCCCCAGGTGTGTAATAACATCTCTGAACAGGTTGATTAGAAAAATGGATTAAATAAAAAATATATTTATATTACCAGGAGATGTAGAATCTCCTCAGTTCAGAGGACTGACTCTGAGCTGGCTGGCCAAAGCCAGATTACTGTGCACAAGTAAATTAAGGGTATCTTGGTGACGGGATACCGGCCTCTGTGCAGTTATTTCATTGGTTACCGGGGAAAACAGTACGTGCCTAAAGAATATTCACTGGCAACAGTCATCTTGGAGTTGGGGTAAGCATATCCAGCATCATGCCCTTATTTGGGAAGCCTGACTCATTCAATTCTGCTGTCGAAGACTGGGTTCAGTATCCGGAAAGAATGCAATATTATTTCCAGGCAAATGATGTTGGGGTAGATGAAATGCAACAAGTAAACCTTCTTACAGCTTGTGGATCTGCAGCATTTTTGGTTATAAGAGTCTTAACTTTCCCAGAGGTGCCAGACACTAAAACCTTCCAAGAGTTTACGGAGTTGGTTAAGAAATATTACGCCCCAAACGTCCCCTAATTCTAAGACGCTATTGGTTTTATTTGGCTGTTAGAGAACCAGGGTAATCAGTACTGGGATTTTTGGGAAGGTTGAGACAACTGGCAGAGGCATGTGATTTTGGATTAACTTTGAATGAGATGCTGAGAGAATGTTTGATATGTGAGATTAATGATGTAACCAGGCAGAAGCGCCTAGTAGCTGAAGCTTAACTGGACTTCAACCAGGCACTACAACTGGCTTTGTCATTAGAAAATGCAAGTGGAGCATGGGAGCTACAGGGCATCCCAATGGACATGGACTCCCTCACCTGCCTGACTGAGCTTGGGGAACACCACTTGAGTGTAGGCAATTGCAGAGCCTCACGCAAAGCATATCCTGAGCAGATGGACCCTAGGCCAACCCACAGCAGAACCCCACAATAAAGCCAAACCTCGGCTAAGCAGCTAGAAAGTTCTTCAGGATCTGGGCTGGCAAGCCATTGTAGTTGCTGCCAGTATGCAGACTCAAGACAGCAAAGAAGTTCTACAAGGCCTGACTTGAGTAAGAAAACTCGTACGCTGGTACCCAGGAGAGTGCACACCCTGGAAAGTTCCCCTATATGTAGGTTGGAACAATTAGATTGCTTAGCGACATTCAAATTGGAAGCGATTAAATTAATGTTTGTTCAAATGATCACTCAGTTCCCATGGAGATCGATACTGGCGCAGCTGTGTGTATGGTTGCAGAATATGTCTTTCACAAGATTCGCTTGGGATTCCAACCCTTAAGTTTGTGCAAGACCTCATCCAGACTAAGAACATAGATGCGCAAGGATTGCAGATTAAGGCTAAGACTTCTGTTCCGGTCTCTTATGAGAAGCAGTTGGTGCAGTTACCACTGATAGTAGTAAAAGGCTCAGGCTCAAGCCTATGGAGGCAGAATTGGTTGAGAAAGATTCACCTAGACTGGCTCAACATTTTTCAATTAGAAAATGGCTGCCTTGGTGAAGTCCTAGTGAAATACTCAGGAGTATTTCAGGAAAGGCTTGGGACTATCAAAAGGGTCAAAGCCATGTTACATGTTGACCAGGAAGCAATTCTGAGATTTTGCAAGGTCCACCCAGTGCCATTTGCCTTGCAGGCAAAAGTACAGGCAGAAATCAGCAGGCTGGAGAGCAAAGGAATCATCAAATCAGTGTAGTTTGCAGTATGGGCAGCACCGGTCATACCGATTGTGAAGCTTGACAGCTCAGTTCACCTTTATGGGGATTTTAAGCAAACAGTAAACTGCTGCTCGCAGCTGAATGAATATCCGATCCTTTGCATGGATGACTTGTACACAAAGTTGGCTGGGGGGGCGGTAGTGGTTTTACGAGGCTGGACATGAGCCACACCTACCTGCATTTGCGACTGGATGAGGAGTCCCAGAAGTACACTACAATTAATACCCGTAAGAGTTTATACAAGACTGTCATTTCGGGTATCGTCAGCCAGAGCTCTTTTCCAGCGGATCACGGAGAACACTTTACAAGGGCTACCCCAGGTTGCCATTTATCTGGATGACATACTAACAACAGTTAAGACCAATAAAAAGTACTTGGAGAACTTAGACAGTGCTTATACATTTTTTTCCAAGCAAGCGTACATGTTAGATGGTTCCAGGCACCCCAAGTGACCTACTTCTTACAGATTTGACAAAACCAGGTTACACCTGTAGGAAGATAAAGTGAGGGCAATCAAAGGAGCCCCGGTTCCCAAGTCTGTACCAGAGTTTAGACATTTCCTTGGGTTAGTGAATTATGATGGAAAATTCCTACGTAACCTGGCCTCCATCTTGACACGCTTAAACCTGCTATCAAAAAAGGGTCAGCCTTGGAAATGGTTGTGTAGCCAAGAAGGAGCCTTTAGGGAAGTGAAAAAGCAGCTACCTTCAGCTAAGGTGTTGGTCCACTACAATCCCAAGTGAGATGCAGTGCTCACATGTGATGCCTCCTCATCCCGTATCAGGGCAATGCTGCCTCACTGGTACCCCAACGAAGAGGAACGCCTCGTAGCGTATGCTTCTCAGACTTTGGCTGATGCTGAACACAAATATGCCCAGATAGAGAAGGAAGATTTAGCGGTCATCTTTGGTGTGAGGAAGTTCCACTAGTACCTTTATGGGCAGGAATTTGTCATAGTAACCGATCACAAACTCCTGCTAGAGCTACTGAAGGAAGACAAGGTAGTGCCGCCAATAGCTTCTGGTAAAATTCAGCACGGGGCCCTTATTCTCGGTACGTACAGGTACAAGTTAGAACACCGTCTAGAAAGCCAAGTGGCTAATGCAGATGCCCTGAGCTGCCTCCCGCTGGCAGATACTCCACCAGTGGTGCCTCCCCTTGAACAACCCATTTTAGTTTTAAACTTTCTGGACACCCTTCTGGTCACCACTGACGATATCCGACTGCGGACACAAAAAGATCCTGTCCTAGCAAAACTAAAACAGCTAGTGGTGATGGAGGAAGCAGAAGGGCCATCGCAACCAGGACTGAAACCTTTCTGGAGCTGGTGAGACCAGATCACCGTACAGGATGGCATATTACTATGGGGAATAAGGGTGATTGTCCTGAGTAAAGGTTGCCTCCAGATACTGGCCGAACTCCACCAGGGTGTTCTAGGGATTTCCAAGATGGAGATGCTAGCAAGAAGCTACGTCTGGTGGCCACGGTTGGATGCTGACATAACTGCTTTGGTGGTGCAGTGCCCAGAGTTCCAACAAGGACAACAACTGCCATCACAGCACCCCCACATTCGTGGACCCTGGACTCAGTTGCACGTCGACTAGGCCGGTCCTTTCATGGGCTCAATGTTTCTGGTTATTGTGGACGCCTATTCAAAGTGGTTGGACGTGCATAAAGTTTGTTTGGCAAACTCAGGGATGATGATTGAGAAGCTATGAGCATCTTTTGTGATACACAGACTCCCGGAAGTACTGGTTACGGACAATGGGACATCATTTACCAGCAGGGAATTTGAATATTTCCTAAAGTCAAATGGCATTCGGCACATAAGGACAGCTCCATACCATCCATTGTCCAATAGTCTAGCGGAAATAGTGATTCAAATGTTGAAAGCAGGCTTAAAGAAGCAGCCTACAGTGTAACATGATACCAAACTGTTCCGGTTCCTGTTCAATTATACAACCACCCCACACGCAACAACAGGGATAGCTCCAGTAGAGTTGCTGATTGGGAGACAACTCTGCACCAGGTTAAACCTGATATTTGGGGGAGGGGATGGTGAAACAGCAGCATGAACGCCAATGCTGACCACATGCCTCCTCTAAGCGAGAGAGACACTTTAATTCTGGGGACGAAGTTTGGCGCCAGAACTATGGAAATGGCCCTGTATGGGTACAAGGTGAGGTTAATGCAAGATCCCATGACTTACAAAGTTCAGGTCAGTGATATAGTCCTTAACAAACACCTGGATCACGTGAAAGCTGTTACCTCGCAAGCAGGACAGGAGTAAAACATACTTGGCCGCTCAGAACAGCTGGAAGTCCTGTCAGAAATCAAAGTTTTCCCCATTCCATCTTTTGTTGAGGAAATCTCAGAGTCTGAGATGGATGCAGCCTTGATACTGTTACTGCTGGGAGAAGAGGAGGAAACCTCCTGTGATGCTCTGGACATAAGAGCTGGGCTACGGTCCCATATACGCTGCCCGTGTCAGAAAAACTGGACCTGGGACAAAAACATCGCAAGAGAAACTACAAGAGAAAGACCAGGCCTACATCTTAAACTTAGTGATTGGAACCAGCTGGATCTTGTTGACTGAGATCCTTGATTAGGGTTGTTAATGGGGGCCAATCAGGAAAGCCCTGGCTGACCAATGTAACCAGGAGATTTAACGTAGTAATTCCTTGTATTTTGTGAAAAAATTATGATTTTGCAAAAAAAAAAAGTACAAACAGGGGATTTAGAATCTCCTCACAAAAAATAGAAACAGAAGTAAAGGTAACTGGGAGATTTAGAATCTCCTCAATTCAGGGGATTGCCTCCAAGCTCGCTGGCCACAGACAGTGTACCGTACGCACAAGTAAATACAGGGTGACTTGATGATGGGATATCAGCCTCTGTGCAGTTATTTCAGGTACCCAATCAAATACCTTCAACATTCACCCCCACTACAATCGCTGCACAGTTGCGTAGTGTGTGTACATTAGCCTGTATCATCTACAAAATACACTGCAACAGTTCACTAAGGGTCCTCAGACAGGATCTTCTCAACCTGCAATCTTAATGATGTGGAAGGACAGAAGCAGTGGATGCATATGAACATGACGACCTGCAAGTTGTCCTCCAAGCTACACATCATTCTGACTTGGAAATATACTGCTGTTCCTGTCACTGGATCAAAATCTTAGAAGTCCCTACCTAACAGCACTGTGCATGCACTTACACTACAATAAACAGAAGCAGCTCAAGAAGCCAGTTCACCATCACCATCACAAGGACAATTTGGGATAGCCTAGCAAGCGAGACCTGAATCCTGTGAATGAAGGAGATAAATGCCTTGATCTCAGTTCAAGGACTGAACACTTTTCTATACTTATCATATTTTCCCACTCTGCAACCTCTGCTCATCTCTTTGAGTGCAATACAGTCTACTATATTTGCTAGACAACGCCTGTCTTTTTTCAGTTTATTAGGCCTGTTCATCTTTTACCCAGATTACTTGCAGTTATAGTACTGGAATTTATAATATTAGAACTATAATTTACTGGATCATTGTATAATAACCTCTGTTGTATCATACAATCTTGCGCATGTGCACTTTTTGTCCTTAAGCTTCATTTTCTATTGACAAGAGATTTTTTTTTCTGTTGCTGGGATTTCTTTCCAAGCCATCTGTATATGTAAACAATTGGCTAATACTCTTATTCGATGAACTAATCACATCACTCTGAAAAATCTACTACCACTTTTTATGAATAATTGAACTTGCAAGATCCAATTATTTTCAATAATAGTATTATTTAATAACATATTAAGGTTACTAGTTTACAGGAATAACCTGAGCCCTGCATGTTTCCCACTGCTGCAGCAGGCCTGCAAACTTTCCTTCTGCTGGATTGTGTTGTCCCTGCTGAGGCCCATCTCACGCAAGCTTAAAGAGCACTGGTGAGTAATGAATTCCATTCTGGCAGCTTGGATCTCCAGAATGGAATCGACTGGTTGAGGAGCACTTGGGAATCCTGCATACATGAAGAGTGATGCAGACTAGTGGGCTGCAAAAGCAGGAACTGGGACTGAAAATTGGGGAATTGGTGGGTTTTATTCAATGGAAGAGACAGAAAGACTTAGGGTTTAGATTATAACTTGGTTGGAAGAGAGACAGGGGGTACTGCAGGTAAGTGGATAGATGTTCAGCTGGAGAGTGGGAGATTAGACAATAGGATTGTTGCACGTTGGGTCCGAGGTTTGGGAAATGACAGACACTGAAGACTTGGAGCTGGAATTAGGGCTTGGATAGAATAGGAGAATTATAGAGTTCCTTGCAAGTTCTGCTGCTAATTTGGGCGCCCTATTCTGCATCTCTCTTTCCCTGTTACTTCATTCTTTGTTTTAGTTGACCCTTCTGGATTCTGGTCCTTTATCATAAGACCATAAGATGATAGATATAGGAGCAGAATTAGGCCGTTCAGCCCATTGGGTCTGCACCACCATTCGATCATGGCGATATATTTCTCAACTCCATTCTCCTGCCTTCTGCCAGTAACCCTTGATCCTCTAACTAATCAAGAACATGTCTATCTCTGTCTTAAAGGCACTCAATGACTTGGCCTCCAGAGTCTTCGGTGGCAACGAATTCGACAGATTCACCACGCTCTGGGTGAAGAAATCCTTTCTCATCTCTGTTCTGAAAGGTCATCCCTTCACTCTGAGGCTATGCCCTGGGGTCCTGGTCTCTCTTACTAGTGGACATATCTTCTCCATATCCAATCCAGCCAGGCCTCTCACTATTCTGAGATTATTCCCTCATCCTTCTAAATCTCACTGAAGAGAGGCCCAGAGTCCTCAACCGCTTCGCATATGACAAACTCTTTCATCCCTGGCATCATTCTTGACAACCTCTTGTAGACACCTCCAAGGCATGCACATTCTTCCTTAGTCATGAGACCCAAAACTGTTCACAATATTCCAAATGTGGTCTGACCAGAGCCTTATGCAGCCTCAGCAATACATCTCTGCTTTTGTACTCTAGCCATCTTGAAATGAATGCTAACCTTGCACTTGCCTTCCTAACTGCCAACTGAACCAATGTGTTAACCTTAACAGAGTCCTGACTAGGACTCCCAAGTCCCTTTCCTTTCAACGTGAACTCAATTTCCAATAGGTGTTCACTGGTTATTGATATGGAGCAGGAATCCTGGCTGCTGTTCCATGTTTCCAAGTTAGTGAGTAGTGATCAAAAGTAGGTTTACATTGCCAACATTCCTAGGCAATCTGTGTTTATCCAGGAAAAAGATTAACCCCTGGGAACGGATGCTAGCAAACAAGTGGAAAGGCATAGTTTGAATTATTGCTAACAATTCACACATTTATTTTTTGTGTTTGCCTACTTGCCTTGCCTACTAGCAGGGGCTTTCCTGGTTCTAGAATCTTCTGACATTTGCTGGCATGAAATAGCTACTGAAGATACTCAACTACAGAGGATTTAATTATTGTGAACTACAATATCATATTGAAAGCATCATGTGCCAAGATATAACTTGAACAGGCACCATGTGATTGAATATCACATGATTGCCTTCAACACTGTGACAGGGAATAGGTTGATTCACATGGGGCAATCTGTAACCATGTGAAACTTTGAAAGCTTAACAAAACAGTTTTTGACATAGCTGGCAGTTAACCATGATGCCAAAACTGGTGGATAAGGTGCCAATCAAACGAACTGATGTTGAGCTTTGAGTATTGCTACAGTTCTACACAAACAAGCAAGTAGAACATATTTCATTACACTTCTGATTTATGCCTTGTAGCTGCTAAAAAAGCTGCAGAGAGTCACTCACTGCACATCACCAAATCTCAAACCTGTTCTTGTAGCTATCTTATTTATTTAGCTGATTCAATTAAGTTCCTGGTCAATAGTAAACCCCATAATGTTGATGGTGAGGGGCTTAGCAATGGTAATGCTGCTGATTGTCAAGCAGAAGTGATTAGGCTCCCTCTTGTTGGAACTAGCACGGTGTCATGCAAATGTTACTTGCTATTCTTGATCGAAGCCTAAGTGTTGCATTGGGTGCTTCATTATCTGAGGAATTATGAATATGTTTGAACACTATTCAATCATCAGTAAATTTTTCCACTATAGTCAGAACAATGGAAAGAAGTCATTGATAAAACAATTAAAGGTAGTTGTGCCTTCAAGTAAAACATCCTGGACTCAAGATGACTGAACTTCAAAAATCATAATTATTTTCCTTTGAGCCAATTAAAACTTCAGGCAAGGATACGTTTTTCCTCTGATAACGTTTCGAACAGAACTGAAGTCTAGTCACTGGAGCTGAAATGTTAACTCTGCTTTCTCTCCACAGATGCTGCCAGACCTGCTGAGTTTTCAACATTTTCTGTTTATTTCTGACTTCTAGCATTTGCAGTTTTTTTTTCATTTGATAGCACCTTTGAGTATTCCCTCCATCACTTCTGATGGTTGAAACATATTAACAGGATGGCAATTTGCTGGTTTGGATATATCCTGCTTTTTCTGGTCAGCAAATACCTGGATATTTTTTCACATTATTGGAGCTGTACAATGTAGCTAAATCTGCAACTAATTCTGGAGCACTGCATTACAGTTAGATTTGACAGAATCTTTTCCGCACTAGGTGCCTGTTCTGTGATATCACACAGAGTGAATGAAATTGGTTGATGATTGTCATCTGTGATGGTGAGAACCTTACGAAGATGTTGAAATGTTTAACGTTGTCTAGGTTTTTGCACCAGGTTAGTAAAGAGGAATTTACCTATTGTGCCACTATTCTGGCGATGAGGTGTAACAGGAATTTAAGTTTGTACTCATGCTGATTTTTCATTAATTAATCCTGATGTTACTGTCAGAATACATACTTAGAGACTGCTACCCATTAACTAGATATTTTCTCCATGAAAACCTGAGCCTTCTAAGGAACCTTTGTTTGACAAATGCATTCATCACCTCCCTAAATTATTTGAATGGCTGGCAAAGAAAAATGCAGGATGCCAATGCTAAGTCTGTGTTAAATAGCCAAGGCTATTTAAAACCTGCTCCTGAAACAAATAGATCCTGAACTTGCTACCCTCTAGGATAAGATTCCAGTCATTGCTCCCAATGATTCTCGAACCATGAAGTGAGATGTCTGGTGTCACATTTAATAGGAGTGGAAACACAACTGTTTGGGCAATCAGTTTCTCTGTAATCCATCCTGACCAGTAGATGATCCATGGAGTCTGGATGCTACAATCTACTGTGGTTGGTGATAACTTATTGATCCCCAAAACAGCACATTGTACCTGGTATCATTGATGGCAGCACTCCGGTCACGTTTTTTGCCCCACACTTTCAGAGAATTAACCAGCAGTATAATGAATTCTCCATTCTTCATTCCAATTGCAACCATTTCTCCATCAGGACTGTAAGCAGCACATTTTGCACCATAACCAAGGTTCACTTTGTTTAGCAATTTCTATATTGGGGAAAATTCAGGAGCATAATTTAAAATAGTTTAAAATATAACAAAGCTCATGTATCATCCTTAGATTTGCACAATTATTGAAATTTCAAATCTGGGCCAGATACTGGAACTCCAAATAGCTTACCTTGGTTGTTTCCAATATGTTAAGTTGCCTATCTCAGCCATTCATTTAAGAAGAAAATCAGAGGAAAGATCAGAATTTTATATATTGTGGTCTTTGGTAGAGTCATGCTAGTTGACTACAGGAAGCTACATGCCTGTTTCACATGAATTTAATGCAAGGCTCAGGGAGACCTTAAAGAAACAAAACTGTGTAAAAGAAGTTACCCTTTTTTCTGTTCAGCTTTCACCCCAAGTTATGCAGTTAAAATTCCAATGTCTTTTATTCTGAAAATCTTCCATTTTAATCAAAAATTATGGAAGTTGCTGAATTTGCGCTCCACTCTTTTTTTAAAATCAACCTGTCCAGGTCAGACTTGAACCCATGTCTTCTGACTCAAAGGTCAGAACACTACCACTGTGCCACAAGAGACCTCAATACTTAATAAAAACGGAAAGAACTGAGAATGCTGTAAACCAGAGACAAAAATAGAAATTGTGAGAAAAACTCTGCAGGTCTGGCAGCGTCTGTGGAGAGAAATTAGAGTTAATGTATCAGGTCAAGTGATCCCTCCTCAGAGCTGATGGAAGCTTGGAAAATGTTGGTTTATATGCAGAAGACAGGATGGGGGAGATGGTAAGGAGTAAACGATCGGTGGGGATACTGGCCAAAGAGAGAGAAGAGCAGTTTGACAGACAAAGGAGTATATAACAATCTGGCTAGGTGGGTGAATAGATATTAATGGAGACTGTTAGTGGCTTACAATGGATTGTGGGTAATAGCAGACTATGTGATATGAAGGCCTGGCGTGTAGGGGTTTGGGATAAGGACATGGGAGAGCTCTAGCCCTAAAGTGATTGAACTTGATATTGAGTCCGGAAGGCTGCAGGGACTCAAGCAGAAAATGAGGTGCTGTTTTCCGCTTGCGCTGAGCTTTGTTGGAGCACTGCAGGAAGCCCGAGACAGAGACGTTGGCTAGGGAACATCTCTGTCTCAGGCTTGCTGCAGTGCTCCAGCAAAGCTCAGGGTAAGCTGGATGAACAGCACCTCATTTTCCGCTTGGAGTCCCTGCAGCCTTCTGATTTCAATATTGAGTTCAATAACTTTAGGGCTTGAGCTCTCCCATGTCCTTACCCCAACAACCCCACACACCAAGCTTTGTTATCACATGGTCTGCAATTACACCCAACCCATTGTTAGCCACGAACAGTCCCCATTATTAGCTATTCACCCTCCTAGTCAGATTGTTATATACTCCTTTGTCTGTTCAATTGCTGAACTCTCTCTTTAGGCTCTATTCCCATTCATCGTTTACTCCTTAACCCCCTCCCCTCTGTCTACCTTTTGCATACAAACTGACATTTTCCTAGTTACCATTAGTTCTGAGGAAGGGTCACCTGACCCGAAACACTAATTCTGATTTCTCTCCACAGATGCTGCCAGACCTGCTGAACTTTTCCAGCAATTTCTATTTTAAACCTAAATACTTGTTTGCCTTTTATTGGTTTTGTAGTAGTGAAAGTTGATTCCACAGTTCATACATTGTACATTTTTAAGCATTTTCTGTTTATGTTTTGAAACTACTTACTTGTCCAGAAAACAATTTAAGACAATAGAACTTGTGTTCAGCACGAGATAGATGCCATTTTAACCATAAAATATAAAGTAATAATCAGATCTTAATCAGAACTAAAATGGAATGCCATTTCTCAGTAGGGAATAGTCAACTGGATTATTTCTGTTCGGGATGGGAATGGTTGACCAGCAGCTCTACGCTCAGGTAGAGGCGTAGTTATTGGCAGTCTTCTGTTCTGCCAGATTCAATGAATTTCACATGGAAATGTAAGGTTTTGCAATGCTTAGATAGACTTGGTGTACAAGTGTGTATTACAGTCACTTGTTCAGATTGGGTCACTAGCAAGATATTGTGATATTGTTAAATTTGTACTAAGAAACTGCAAATTGAAAGTAATAAGTGAGATCTGTTCTACTGAATTACCGCTACTGGCCAATATTTACTTTCAATAGACTTTTTTTCTGTAATTTGTATTGTATGAGAAACAGTCTGATAAACATATGATTCTTTGTGGAGTGTGGAGGTTAAAAGAACATAAAAAGAATTGTACCAAATTCTGTGAAGTAGTTCCGAAGTTCATTCCACCTATGGCAAAATTCCATTATCAGACATGTATATATTAAACTCATTTTATACTGAGCAAATATCATGTTAAGTCTCAAAAATTCAGAAAACATGTATCCAAATTCTACCAAAGCAGTTTCAGAATTTTAAGTTAATTTCTTTAAAAGTCTGAAAATCTAAAAAAAAGCTTGTATCAGTATGACTTAGCATGAAACTATCACAAAAAGCTAAATGGTTAACTTAGGTTCTTTCAAAGGAAGTCTGCCATTCTTAACTGATCAAGCCTCGATGTGACTCCAGTCCCATACCAATGTGGCCATGTCATAACTGACCGTATGAGGTGGCCTAGCAGGCCATTCATTTGCCTGAAGCTGCCAGAATGGAAACTTGACATCATTCAGGATAATATTCACTTTATTAGCATCTGATTCACCAGCTTAAAAATTGACTCTCTCCATTGGCAATTTGAGGCTGCATTGGGCTTTGCTCTACAATAATTATCAAAGGATTTCTTAAAAGCATCCCCAAACCTACTGTCTTTATCATTCACAAAGAAGGGCCAGCAAGTGCTTGAGAACACTGGCACCTTCAAGATATCTTTCAATTTATATACATCCTGATTTGGACAAAGATTACAAAGTCTGCTCTCACCCTGAACTGGAAAATTTAATCAATTTCCACCTTTCCCTCACCATCATGTGGTCCATCTCTGCCTCATCCTTGCCAGTCCTCAACCTCTTTATTAGCATTCTGGGGGATATTATTGACCAATATTGACTTTAAACCCACAGTCTCCCACAGCTACCTTGATTACATTTCCTCCCATCCTCCCATGAACTCTATTTCATTCTCCCAGCTTCTTAGCTACTGTTGCATCTGTTTTTATGATGCCTATTTCCAATGCAGTATTTCTGATATGCCTTCCTCTTTTTCTCCCCAAACTAGGATGTCCCTCCTGAGACAATAATAGACTTATTGACCTTAAGCATTTCATTTTCTGTACTTCTGCTATTACCACTTCATCCTCCTTCCAGAATCACAATAGGACTTGACACATCCTCAACTTATATTCACCAATACCTACATCTTATATCCACATTCAATGGATCTTTCCTTCAATAACATCATGGTTCCTTCTTCAATCACCATCCATTCCCTTTCTCACGATGCTTTCCCGTGAAAGTGCAGAGAGTAATTCCAATCCTTTTATCTTCTCTCTCCATACCATCCAGGGCCCCAGGCACTTTATACAGGTTCAATTTAGTACACTGCATTCTGCTCACAATGAGTGAGTGCCTTTATTTAGACCACAAGTACGACACAAGCTTCCAATCACCTATCATTTTAATTCTTCGATGCATTCCCATTCTGAACTTTCTGTTCTCAGCTCCTACACTGTTCCTTTGAAACGCAATGTAAGATCTCATCTTTTGTTTAGGTGCCTTGCAGTCTTCTGAACTTAATACGAGGCTGAACAACTTCAGATCAAAATCATTCCTTTAATTTTTCCAGATATCAGTGATTGGTAATGATTCTGCTATTCCCATTTCTATTTACTTTGGACTCACATTTTTTGTTTCTTAACTTGTTGAATTACCATCCTCTTTTGCCTTGCCCCATCATAGATTTAATCTATCCGGCCTTCCACCCTATTACAGATCTTCCCTTTCGTCATTCCCTGACCTCTTTTTCCTGCTTCTTTACTTGTTTACAACCTGTAAGATTTCTGTTTCCAGTTCGAATGAAATGCCATTGATCCTGATATATTAATTTCATTTCTCTCTCTGCAAATGTTGCCCGACCTGCTCAGCATTTCTCTTTTGAAGGCAGAAAATTTTAGAAATGTCCCATTTTTCATCCTTCCCTACTTACTTTATCAGCCAGATCCCAGATTCTTATAGTGCCATCATCACTTGCTGAAATCAAGTGGTCTTTAGAGGGATGTGTGGCCAGACCCCAAATTTCTCCTTCCATGTGCGCATCAATTAGGCAATTTGATGCTGCATTTTTTTCTCCAACTTCAATTATCTCACCATCTTTAGTTCCAACAAGTATTTTTCCCTGTAATCAACAATAATGTTTATTAGGTAGAAAGCAAGGTAAGATGTAAGGAGATAGTTACAAAACCCCTGAAAACCTGAAATAAAACACAAATAAAATATTATTGCATGTGGTGAAGTTTTGTTTTTATTAAAAGTGAGTTTTCTTTTTCATCTTAGCTAAGCAATAAATAAATGGCAGATGCATTACATTTTAAGGTATCCTTAACTCCAGTCTAGTCAGTGCTGCTCTGTTTAGACTTAGGCAAATGTAAATTGTTGCAGCAGAAAACTTTCTGCAACTTGAGTTGAACTGACAGTCTGTAAAGGTGATAGCTGTTGACAAAAGCAAAGGAGTGTTCTCTTTTCCAGATATTATCAGTATTGAAATGTACCTATCTTAGAAAAAACATACTGCTCATGTGTGTGCAGAAATTAGATTATTACAGAGAATTTTGAAACATCAATACAATTGTTTTATGGAAACTTTACGTTCATAGAGTCATCCTAACGGAAACAGACCCTTCAGTCCAACCAGTCCATGCCGAACGTAATCCCAAACTAAATTAATCCCACTGGCATGCTCCTGGCCCATATCCCTCCAAACCTTTCCTATTTATGAACTTATCTAAGTGTCTTTTAAATGTTGTAACTGTGCCCACATCCACCACTTCCTCTGGAAGTTTATTCCACACATGAACAACCCTTTGTGTAAAAAAATTGCCCCATGTCTTTTTTAAATCTCTCCCCTCTCACCTGAAAAATATGCCCCCTAGTCTTGAAATCCCCTATCCTATGGAAAACACACCTGCCAATAACCCTATCCATATCTCCCATGATTTTGTAAACCTCTATAAGGTTCACCTCTCAACCTCCTACACTCCAGTGAAAAAAGTCCCAGCCTATAACATGTAGAGGGCCCTACTCAGGAGGCTGCAACACTGGACCTCCTGTTAGGAAACGAGGTCAGGCAAGTGACTGAAGTGTCTGTTGGAGAGCACTTTGGGTCCAGTGACCACAACTCTCTTAGTTTTAACATAGTTATGGAAAAAGATTGGACAGGTCCACAGGTTAAGGTGCTAAACAGGAGCAGGGTCAATTTTAGGGCCACTGGGCAGGATCCAGCAGTGGTCGATGGAGTGAGTCTGTCTGAAGGAAAAGGAACAACTGGCAAACAGGAGGCTTTTAAAAGTGCAATATCAAGAGTCCAGGGATAGTATGTCCTTGTTAGGGCGAAGGGAAAAGCTGACAGATTTAGGGATTTAGGGATCCCTGGCTGACGAGGGATATTTAGGCTCTGGTCAGGAAAAAGAAGAAGGCGTACATTGGGTTTAAGCTATTGGGCTCAAATGAATCCCTTGATGACTATAAAAAGTGTAGGAGCACATTTAAGAGGGAAATCAGAAGAGCAAAAAGAGGGTATGAGATGGATCTGGCACATAAGGTTAAAGATAATCCCAAGAGGTTCTATAGCTATATTAAGAGTAAAAGAGTGGCTGGGGAGAGAATAGGTCCCCTTAAAGATTAGTAAGGCCGTCTATGTGTGGAGCCACAGGAGATGGGGGAGATTTTTGATGAATATTTCTCCGCAGTGTTACTGAAGAGAGAATCATGGATGCTAAGGAAATAAGGGAAACAAGTGGGGATGTTTTGGATTGCATCCATATTACCAGAGAGGAGGTGTGTGCAGCCTTAGATTGCATTAAGGTGGATAAATCCCCTGGGCCTGATCAAGTCCACCCTCGGACGTTGTGGGAGGCTAGGGAAGAAATTGCAGAAGACCTTGCAGAGATTTTTGCTTCACCTTTAGCCACCGGTAAAGTCCTGGAAGACTAGAGGGTGGCTAACAATGTTCCATTGTTTAAGAAAGGCAGCAAAGACAAGCCAGTGAACAACAGGCCAGCGAGTCTGACATGAGTGGTAGGCAAGTTTTTGGAGAGGGACAGGATCAACCAACATTTGGATAGTCAAGATCTGATTAGGGATAGTCAGCATGGATTTGTCCGCGGGAAGTCATGTTTTTCGAAGAGGTAACCAAGAGGAGAGATGAGGGCAGGGCAGTGAATGTTGTCTATATGGACTTTAGTAAGGCATTTGACAAGGTCCCGCACAGCAGGCTAGTCACGGAGGTTAGGTCGCATGGAATCCAGGGAAAGCTAGCTAATTGAGTTCAAAACTGGCTTGATGGTAGGAAGCAGAGGGTGATGGTTGAAGGTTGTTTCTTGGACTGGAAGCCTGTGACTAGTGGAGTGCCACAGGGGATCGGTGCTGGGATCTTTGTTATTTGTTATTTACATAAATGGTCTGGATGTGAATTTACAAGGCATGATTAGTAAGTTTGCAATTGATACAAAATTAGGAGGTACCATTGATAGTGAGGAAGGTTATTAAAAATTACAGAGGGATCTTGATCAGTTGGGGAAGTGGGCTGAGGATTTGCAAATGCAATTCAACACAGATAAGTGTGAGGTGTTGTATTTTGGAAAGTCAAGCCAAGGTAGGACTTCTACAGTAAATGGTAAGGTCCTGAGGAGTGTTGTGGAACAGAGGGACCTAAGAGTACAAGGATATAGTTTGTTGAAGACAGTGTCACAGGTAGACAGGGTGGTGAAGAAGGCATTTGGCATGCTGGCTGTCATCTGTTGAGGCACTGAGTATAGGAGTTGGGACATTATGTTACAGTTGTATAAGTTGTTATTGAGGCCGCACTTGGAGGATTGTGTACAGTTTTGGTCACCCTGTTACAGGAAAAACGTAGTTAAACTAGAAAGTGTGCAAAGAAGATTTACGAGGATGTTGTCAGGACAAGTAGGCCTGAGTTATAGGGACAGTTTGGCCAGGATAGGACTTTATTCCTTGGAACGTAGGAGATTGAGGGGTGACTTATAGAGGTATTTAAAACCATGAGGGGAAAAATAGGATAAATGCATATAGTCTTTTTCCCAGGGATGGGGAATTGAAAACTAGAGGGCATAGGTTTAAGGTGAGAGGGGAAAGATTTAAGAAGGACCTGAGGGGCAACTTCTTCACGCAGAGAGTGGTGCGTACATGGAATGGACTGCCAGAGAAAGTGGTTGAGGCAGGTACAATAGCAACATTTAAAAACATTTGGATAGGTACATGGATGGGAAGGATTTAGAGGGATATGGAACAAATGCAGGCAATTGGAACTAGCTGAATGGGTACCAAGGTCAGCGGGGACCATTTTGGGCTGAAGGGCCTGTTTCCATGCTGTATTACTCTATGACTCTACTCAGCCTTTCTTTATAACTTAAACATTACATACTCGGCAACATCCTGGAAAATCTCTTCTGAACTCTCTCTAGCTTAATAATATCCTTCCTATAATTAGACGACAGAACAGGACACAGTATTCCAGAAGAGGCCTCACAAATGTCCTGTACAACTTCAACATGACTTCCCAACTCCTATACTCAAAGGACTGAGCAATGAAGGCAAGGATGCTAAATGCTTTTTTAACCATTCTGTCTATTTGTGACATAAATTTCAAAGAGTTACGTACCTGAACCCTAGGTCTCTCTGTTCTAGACTACCCAAGGCCCTGCCATTATTTGTATAAATCCTGCCCCTGTTTGTTGTATCAAAATGTAATATTGCACAATTATCCAGATTGAACTCCATCTGCCATTTTTCAGCACATTGACCCATTTAATCCAGATCCCTTTGTAATGTTAGAAAACCTTCTTCACTATCTACTATACCACCAGTTTTGATGTCATCTGAAAACATGTTAACCATGCCTTCTACATTCTCATCCTAATCATTTATATAAATGACAAAGAAAGGGGACTCAACTGATTCCTGTTGAACACTGCTGGTGACAGGCCATCAGTCCGAAAAGCAACCCTCCGCCACCAGCTTGTCTCCTACTGTTAAACCAATTATGTATCCAATTGGCAAGCTCACCCTGAATCCCATGTGACCTAACTTTACTTGTCAAAGGCTTTACTAAAGTCCATGTAAATAACGTCTACTGCTCTGCCCTCATCAATCTTTTTGAGAACTTCCTCAAAAAGCTTGTTACATCATTGACTGCATTTTGTAACATACTGAGAAATTACAACCTGATTTTCAAAAACATGAAATAATAGTAGTGTTTTCAGATTAGAATATAGGAATCTAAAATGGATTACCAATGATACTGTACTATCTGCTTTGAGATTTGTACATTTTAGAGGTATTGAAATTTAAGGTCAGAATGAGTGGCTGGTGCAATGGCTGCCTTAGAATAGATCTTGAATGAGGAGCCTGCCGTGCAGGGACCTGCAGGAGGTCAGTATAAAGAACAGCAGTACAGTGGGGGATAACAGTGAAATCAAAGTTGTAGGAGGTAATACCTATGTCAGAGGCATATGGACAGATGTTCAGCTTCCTAATCTCAAAAACAACTTCTAATTAAATATCACTCTCAACATAATAAAGCATCTCAAGGTGCTTCACCGGCCAATATATAGCAAAATACAATACCAAGCCACATAACATGACATTCGGTCAGGTGATTAAATACATGGCCAAAGATATATGTTTTAAAGAGTGTCATAAAAGAGGAAAGCAAGGTGAAGAGGTCCAGGGAGAGAATATCAGAGTTTAGGGAATTGTCAATTGAATGCATAGCCACTAGCAGTAAAGGGATTAATATCAGGATGCTCAAGAGACCCGAATTTATGTGTAGATATTTCGGAGAGTTTTGTGGGCTGGAAATTACAGAGATGGAGAGAAGAAAACCAGGGAGGAATTTGATTAAAAAAGATTATAAAATCAAGCTGTTACTTGATCAGAAACCAAAAAAGATCAGTAAGGAGAGGAGTGATAGATGAACGGATTTGGCGCAAGTTAGGGCATGGCAGCATAGTTATTGTTGATCACTTTTACAGAGGACTTTATTAGAAATGATGTGTCTAGGAGTAACAAAAATTTGAATGGAAATTTCAGGAGCCAGACGAGCAGAAGCAGGCATGAAGTTAGTCAAAGTAGAAGAGGTGAAAAAAGGTAGTGTGGGTG